CTCACATTATGCGTCTGTAGTTCTATCTGTGCTTGAACTGCTGTCACATCACTGTGCAGACTCGATGTTACTGTTGCTCTCAGATTTATTATGTCGCACCACTTCGGTTAGCGCTTGAATCTGGCCGTGTGTACGCTTAGATACGACTTTAACTTCGTTGTTCACGGACTCTATCTGTTGGTTCATTTTACATTCCGAGTCCCTCGCGAATGCAGCCAGCATTTCACACACGCCTTCTTTAATAATATTTTCCATTTTACTCCCGTTTTCTCTTAAGTAATTTTCCATATTCATCATTCTGTCCTCCATTTCCATAAAGGTTAACAACATAGCCTGTATGTCTATTGTACTATCCTTTTCCCCCCTTTCTACACTTTTCGTCTGTTGGTTTCGAGTCTGTAACTCAGGTTGTCTCTTCTATTTGCACACTCTTCACGTTTACTCCTCCATCTATTTCTCCCCTGTTCTGTGTGTCACTGATACCTTCCGTCACTTCGATTTCTTCTTCATTATGTATGATTGTCTTCTGACTTTTATGTTTGCCATGGGTTTCCATGTTTTACTGTCCGCAACTCGTTCACACTTATTTTTAATATAACTTAGTCCAACTAACCGTGCACAATACATTTGTTCAATTTTTCAGTCCGCGAAGTTGCTCTTCTCCCTCGATGTTTCCGTGATGTCCCGCTTGTAGACTCCTGGTCTCCTCCGCTGTTACGTGCCCCAGGTTGGAAGCGCAAATTCTCACTGTAGCCGACATCTGACGTACAGCCGCCATGACTATTGCTCAAGATGAACTCTTTGTCCCAGGGATACAGGGGCCTCGGATACCGGAAGGGGAACACATTTAGGGGTTATGATTAACAGGGTCTCCAGAACTCACACCATGTATTACTCTTTTATATTCAAATTGCTTACACTTATTGTCACTCTTTACATAAGTCCTTCAAGCTTGCCGCTGTCTCTCTCTTAACTTTTTTTTGTACTGGTCACACCAATTCTCTTCCAGTTTACCAACTGTATGCACTCGCTAACCCTGACTGTCTCCTAATTCTCTCCTCAGCGTTTTCTTGCAGCTACAAGCCCCCTATCAGAGACTGTAATCCAATTCTCTGTTCAGCGACTTCTTTCATCTACTCTACTCTGCCACTCCTGATCACCGACGGTAATACCATTATCTCTTTTGCGGCTCTTTTCAACTACTTTACACCACTGTTTCCTATCGCTCACTGACTGTCTCTTTCATACAAGTCCCACAGTTGCAATAAAATAAAACAAAAATAATGAGAGATAGCCGTCTATCATAAACCATGTTAAATTATAATGCAATTAAATAATTTTAGCGAGGGACGTACAGTTACAACACAGCTATTTAATCACTTGAGACCAAGCTAATTCAGTTAACAAGAAAATATGAAATAAAAACTGTAGCATCATCTGTGGAGTAAAACCTCATGGAAAGCCCCTTCGGGGCGACGAGCCGCACCCACAAAAACTGACATGACCTCTGACATGACCTTGCATGGGTTTGTTTTGGTTTCAAACCCAAGAACAAACTGCTAGCACTCCCAAAGAGAGAACGTGTCCTTATATAAAACATTCATCTCTTAACGGTTAAGCCCTAATTTTACATTTTAACTATAATGAAAATATGTTACCTTACAGGCATTTTTCCTTGAAGTTAAATTTCTTAAAGGACAGTGTACCATATGAATTGCATGATCATCCAGTGACATTTACACATGAATGGGTTTTCTTATGATATGGCCTTCTTCATGCTTTCTATCCCACAAGTGCTTTTCCTGTACTTAATAAGCACTTTCCTTTTTAGATCACCAAGTCCGTGTAAAGAGCGTGTTAAAACTGCTCCATCTCTATTTACACATTTAATAGCATCAGGCAATTTCAGTTTAAATTTATTTCAGACAATTTTAATCACCAAGACCTACAAGCAATTTTCTTTGTGCATGTCTCAAGTAACTCAATAAATTATTATAAAGTATTTATTGAAGCAAGAAATGTTTCTGTAAGTAACAGTTTTTGAGATAATTAAACAAAACTTCTTACCACATGAACTTTTAGGCCTACATCATGCAAATATTTATTTAATTAAAATATAATTAAATGTACTGCTAAAACCATTAATTCATTAAAATTTAAACTTAGTCAGTTCTGAGACACACCAAAGAGAGTGAATATGCCAGAACTGTTACACCATATGCACATTTACATCTTGTTTATATCTTTCCTGCTTTGATTTCTCTCACAATAAAATATTTCCAATTCTTTCAGTCAGTCTTGATTATGGTGTAACATAATTTATTTAAGAAAACAGTGAAGTCAAGAAAAACAGCTGTTTATTTGAAACCATGACACATTTACATAGTAATAATTCCAAAGCAACAATACACAGTCCTTAAGTGATAAGATCAAGAGTATTGTCTTCAGGAAAGTGACATCATGTAGTGTAGCAGGATTTCATGTGATAAGGTTCTCCATGAGGCCAGTGAGCCTGTGAACACCGTCCTTTTCAGAGCACCCATCTGCTTGAGCTTTCCTTGCAGACCTTATCCACAGCAACTTGCACTGCTCCGCATGTTCCCCAGGCCTATCTCCAACTCACACTGGTCACTCATGCCATTTTCTCCTGCCCTCTTGTATCTCTCTACCTTGCAATTATGGCCCTTTTTAGGGCCATGCTCATTTACTCCTCTTCTTCTATTGTTTATCTCAGGGTCCCTACCCAGACCTAATTAACCATGTTTTCCACATGCAGCTCAATCAGCTTTCTGTTTGCTTAGCATGTATTGACCCTGAAGATGGAAGCAGTACATTCATCCAAAATATCAGTGAACTTCTTCCAGGCTCCATTGAATTACATCCCAAATGAGCATACTCCTAAGTAACTGTTGTGAGAACCTTAAATCCATTAGAGTCATTGTGGGTAGATAGAAGTTAACGTTAAAGTTATTCAAGGGCATCCCAAGTAAGACTATGGGCATTAGATATCTATTTTTGATTTTGTAATTATAATTTCAACTTATAAGATTATTGGGGTTGCACAGAACAAAATGTGAAATGCAACTGTGAACTACAGAAAATGTGAACTTCCATTAACCAGGACTTCTAGGAGCCATAGTTTTTGTTTATTGCTAGTGGGGTGGGACTAGTTCCCTTGTACTGCAGCCACTTCTGGTCTATTGTGCCAGCCCCAGATGATAGGTGAAGGTGATTGTGGAGCAATTGGTGGAATGAAGATTGGCAGGGGAAACTGAAGTACTCGGGGAAAACCTGGCCCAGCGCCACTTTGTCCACCACAAATCCCACTTGACCAGACCCGGGATCGAACCCGGGCCACTGTGGTGGGAAGCCAGCGACTAATCGCTTGAGCTATGGCGTGGCCCAGGAACCATAGTTTACTTCACTGTGTTCCTCTTCTCAGCATATCTAGACAGCCTAGTCGCATGCCATTATTACAGTATGTCCCCACTGTTACAAAGCGCATGTGATCTTAAAAATGTGTCTATATCATGAAATCTAAAAAAGAAAACTTTGTTCTTCCTTCATTTCCCATATTGCAAGTGGAGATGGGTCCCTCAAAAAAATTTTTTTTGTAGTTGTAATGGCGCAAGGGTTATGTACAAGTAGATATGTTTTTTTGGGGGAAAATTTTGAATAAGTGTATCTAGACTTTAAGATTAAGAAATAGAAATAATGAAACGTACCAGGAAGCTTGGGTTTGCAAAGAAGTGTAACAGGCTATACCTTAGTAATCAGAATGCTAGCATGACAGGTAATAATGCTGACATTGAGGAAGAAGCTATATGAAGTAGGTCATAAACACTATGGCATGAGGAAAACGCTGAGTCGGAGAAGGCGGTAGACCTGAAAGAGCCAACCCCCTTTCGATAAACAGCCAATGAGTGGGCCACACCGACCCAAAATCATGTCAGAATGGGCGGGCCAATACACCCCGGAACCCTATGAGTCAGCAAAAAGAGGGTACATAAACTATAGAGGAATCAATTGAAAAACTTTTGACTTTGACTTTTTAATATTATTACTTGATACAGAGTTCAGCCGAAGGCTATGACCGAGAGGGTGATGGCGAGCGCCTGTTTCCTCAGCTCACGTAAGTAGACTTACCTCATATAAGCCATGAACATTAAGTGTGAAAATATTAAAGTGCAAACCCCAGGGAGAGAAAGTGAAGACTAGATGGACTAGGTTTACTGAGAAAGAGAGATAGAGGTATTGAATACCCAATATCAGGGTGACAGGATCGAACTAATGTGTGTACTACAGGGTTGTGATCAAATGTAATGCGAACCGACAAACGTCAGCAAAGTGTGTATATATTATGCATATAGCGACATAGGGAAATAGAGTAGGATAGAAATGTGCTGTGATGTAAATTGAACTTAGCCTCCCCTCAAGTGTTACCCTCTTCCCTGATGACTCCAGCACCTCCCAAAGCTTCGGCGAATTGAGAGTTAAAGCCAGGACTAGTGACATAAGCGATCGATAAGTTTACTGGAGTTTTCTTGACATAACAAGATGGTGGCAGCATACTATACCTGGTGACAGCGCGGGACACCTCCACGCCCCCTGTCACCACGACGTAACAGTAGTCACACTTGTAATAAACCACACTTATTAACCAATCATGAATACCAAAGTATACAAAAATAAACCTAAAAATCTACATGCACTTCAAGCTGATGGCCTCTATCCATACATAAGGGTAATATATTTCACAGTCCCAAATTGTCTGTATTGTGAATTTTATGGACATTTCTAGGGGGGGGGGGTTCTTTTACAGGAAGAAAGGAAGGAAGTGTAATGACCTACAAAGTATTGTCCTATCATTTGCCTTGAGGAACTGAGGATAATCACACATAACTTCACTCAGGACAAATGATTTCCCAGGCAAAATTCAAACTGAGTATCTCCCATGTCTTATAATTTGCATAATGGTAAAATTCCATAATCCAAATATGTGTAACTTGGGGGCACACTGTATTTTATAAAAATTTGTCATAGGCTCTCTATGAAGCAGTACATGTCATGTATGCAATGGAAGAAGAATGTATGATATCATAGTAAACATGTGTTGCGATTCTCATTGAAATATTTCCATTTTTCCATTCTGCTACGCGTAAATACTGCCTTGTTTCGATGTCAGTAATTCTTCAGCAGCTTCTCCATGTACGTTTTCAAGCCAGTTACATGAACTTGTTCCTGGAAATGAAGAATGAGGCATCTTATCATATAGGGCCACTGACAACCCTTCCCATGTCATATCTCAAATGTATGTCTGTTTGTTCTTTATACATTTCCATTTCACTGCACCTATTTTGACCAATTCTGGCATGATTCTAAAGGTAATAAAACAATACAGGTAAAAAGGTGATATAACTCAACAAGATTAAGCAAAGGAAATTGTATCCTCAAGGGAGATGTTATGTTTATTGAAAATGTTCAGATATTTTCAGATGTTGTTTGCAGCTGTGAAGCACCTTGTTGAAGGGCTAAGTCTCAAAACATTTCTAATGTTGAAAGTGGAAAAGTCTCTAATTTGCTTAGTGGGTACACAGAGACCAACAGTATCCATAATAAAACAACAGTCAATTTTGTTCCTGAAAACGTTAATAAGAAATAAAGCATCAAGAATTTGTTGCCTTGAATAAAAAGTTTTAAAATGTAAGTAAAGTAAAGTAAAGCTATCCCTGTACCAGGCCGTGAAGGCCCATAGGGTTGTCAGACATTGAGGGTCCCACATTATCTAGACAATCGGCTCAAAGATGGCAGTAAGGTTGTCAGCCTTACGCGCCGGCCGCGCTTTACTCCCCAGGAAAATTATTTAATTAATTCCTGGTACTCAGTTCTATGTAGAGGCTGCATTGACCCCAGGGCCACAATGCAGCTGGAAAGATTAGGTAATTTGAAAAAAATCTAATGACCTCATCAGGACTTGAACCTACGACCTTCCGCCAATTGTCTGGATAATGTGGGACCCTCAACGTCTCACAACGCTATGGGCCTTCACGGCCTGGTACAGGGATAGCTTTACTTTACTTATTTTACTTTAAAATGTAAGTAAGTAAATTAAATAAATAAGTGTAAATAATAAAAATAATTTTATGCAGCATTAGTTTTGCATCTCTGGAGCTAAAATCTGGTGTATCACATAGCAATAACAGTAGACAGCTACAGGATAAGTGAAATTAAGGTTCTCGTGATGGTAACTATTAAGTATATGATCTAAGATGTGATGCCATGCGGTAAATTGTCTACATTTTGGAAGACTGCTGCCTCCATCTTCAGGAATCTTCTACCTTCCAGATGGAGGGACATTCCCCTAAAATGTTGGTAATGGCCTATCAGAATACATGGCATCACAACTCAGAAGACAGTGATATTCGAGCCTTGACGTATGTCCCATATATGAATATTTTAATTAGGGATAGTTGCGTGTTTAGCTATGACCCATTATTTTACCTATTGTCACATATATGTTCCAATTTTGTATTATATTTTATATACACATGGTAGGTTATGTAGTTGCAGTGATGTGTAGGGTTACATATGCTCACTTTATTGTTGTGGGTTTATATGCATTGTTCTGTTGACTATTTGCTGATTTAGCAAGCTTGTGGTGTGACAGGTTCTGCAGCCAATTGCTTCGGCCATGTACGGATGTGCTGGAACATGTAATAAATACAATACAATACAACGCTCACCTTGAGTGTAGTGTCTCTGCTTCGAAGACCAATAATTCCAGTCTTCAGAGATGCATCACTGAGCACAACAGTGTAGGGAATACCCAGCTCATCGTTGCGGGAAAATTGTGATTCCAAAGACTTCTTGGTTATATCTGGTAATAAGAGAGTTGAAATTCCGACACTCCTCAGCTGTTTTGTCAGGTATAGGGCTAACTGACTGAGTTCTACCCCTACTGATGCAGCTGCACAAAAAAGAGCAAAGTTGTTTAACTACGGTATATTTTGCATTCATTTTTTCCAGTTACTGATTTACTGTTAGGGGGCCGGGATAGCATAGTTGGTATAGTGACTGGCTACGGACTGGATGACCAAGGGGTTTGAGTTTGAGTCCTGGTATGGTCAAGAATTCTTTCTTCTCCAAGTCATCAAGACTGGCTCTGGGGTCCACCCAACCTACTATTCGATGGGTACCGCGGACTCTTTCCCTGGGGGTAAAGTAGCCAGGGCGTGAACCTGACCACTCACCTCCAGTTAGTGCCAAGATCAAGAAAATATGGAAATATACATCCACTCCTCCATATGACTTCATGGCATAGTGCTTAATTAATTAAGCACAGGGACAACTTTACCTTACTGCTTTACTGTACCCAGCCTGGAACCTGTCAAAAGCAAGATATACATTAATGATAAGATACTGGAACAAATTAATGCTTTTAGGTATTTCAGATATAATATATCCTGAAAGTAAAGGTAAAGATAAAGTTGTCCTTGTGCCTAATTAAGCACAAGGCCATTGAAGATGCATGGGAGAGTGGAGATATAGCCCCAAACATTCGTATTCTTGGCACTAATTGGAGGTGAGTGGTCAGTTTCATGCTACAACCACTTCACTCTCCGAGAAACAACCCCAGTATCCGCTGGAGAGCAGGTGGGGTGGGTCCCAGAGATGGTCTCGATGCTGCAAAAAAGAAGCTTACCCCCGCCAGTCATCAAATCTTGACTTCCCAGGTGTCCAGTTCACAGCCTAGTTGCTACATCAACTGAACTATCCTGATTATATGAAGGAGAAAATGATTTGAATGTAAAAATAGTAAATTGTGTCAAAATATTAGGAATTATAAATCAGATCTTGAAACCATCATTACTCTCTAGACACAGAGAAATATAAATTTGTAAGGCATTTGCTAGAAAAACATTATCGTATGGAATGAATGATGAGAGTAAGAATTTATGACAGAAGACTAATATCAGCAGAAATGGATTTTATGTGTAGGTCTTCGGGACATGCCTTTTCGGACAGTAAATGGAATAATGAAATTATAAGAGACCTAAAAATTCTGGTGACAGTACAGTAATGACAGTTATAGGCTGAACAACTGAGGAACCAAGTTTCAGTTCCCAGCACAGGCAAGACTTCCCATTTTCACAGCCGTCAGGCCAGGTCTGTGTCCCATCCAGCCTACCGCTTGATGGGTTCCTTCCCACGAGTAAATTGGCCAAATAGTGAAGCTGATACATTCACCTCCACCTAATGTTGATATTAAGAATTTGTGGAGCTACACCTCCATTCCTCCAATATTTCTTCATGGCATGGAATGATGCAGGGTCAACTATAAGTTTATTTTAACTTTAACTACAAATTCAAAAAATAAGAACTTGGAAAGAACATGCTGACAGCTTGGGAAGATCTCTGAAACGACAGAGGAATTCTGTTTTGTAATACTCGTAACAGGTCTCAACAGTCCAAATACTGGAAATGATGATGACATCATCACCACCACCAGTTCAGCACATTTTGTCAATTTAACAGATATCATTATCAACTGTTTCCATTAATATGCTTAAAATATTAATGAAGAACAAGGTATGAGGCAACAATGTATATTGAATCAATATTATCATGTGGACTCAGCGTAGGAGGTAGATGGGTCCACCTGCTAGTAGTTATGCCTGCCGCCATACAAAAAGAGATGTGTGTCCCCCCCCTCACAGATTATTCTAGACACTGATGTTGGGTGAGGTCCTGCGTGGCGATTCAAGAATAGACTGTGCCAGAATGTAAGTGTGTAAAACTAATGAGTCCACTCAGCCTGCACTTAAAATATGTGCCGTGAAAAGCATGTAGTGACTTCTGCACTATCAGACACAAGCTAGTGAATGCTACGACAGAATAGTGCAGTAGGGTACACTAAAACAAATAGAATCAAGACTGTGGCAAACTTTAAAAGAATGTTCCAGAACAAGATAAAGGCTACAATTACTTTAATGTGTGTTGCAATATTTTATTTTAAAACACAGGGTGGATGATGAGGAACAGATAATTTATATAAAACTTACTCATGATTACTGGGTTTCTGGACTTTGTCCATTGTCTGGTGGATCTGTTTCTGTCCTCAGCTCTTTCTAACAGACCCAACAGAGTAGATGTCCCCCCACCCCCCACCCACCCACCAGAGGATGGAAGCAGATCCAGTTTCCGAAATGTTGCGTTCTTCTGTGTTCTTTCGAATACCAGACAACGAATAAAGTCCAAAAATCTGGTAATCCTGAGTGTCATACACTGACATCAGATCTCTTTAGAATCTATACAAACTTCTGTTTAAAACATTTTACTACTACTTTTACTAATCACTCTAGAGTATTCAGAATAGAATATTTTTAACAACTTCAATTTTTGTTATTAATATTTGGTATATTTCCTTCTTTATTCATTTCTGAATTTATTTCAAAAGGCTGGGGGGGGGGCAGATGCAAGGCCTATGATTTGAGGTTATCATGGCAGTAAATGTGTAGAATACTGTCTTCTGGGTTCTAAGTCATGTAGTACGGTATACACCAACATTTCAGAGGAACCTGCTGCCTCCACTCTCAGGGTTGAGGAATACAGCGCATGGGAAAATGAGGATGTGAACACAGGAGTAGGAGGGAAGGGAATAGGGTTGGTCAGTGCAAGATGGTGGCATTAAAAGGGCCCAGGCAAACATTAGACAGAAAGGAGGTAACAAAAAAGTGAATATACTTCTGAGACTCTGTATCTACATAGCTACATGCACACATACTAGAGGAAGAAGCAGAAAAGCTTGCTTTATATGGAGCCAACTTGCGATGAAACCTCAGCATTTGGCGAGGCACCCCCAGAAATAATGGCTCATCATATGCATCACAAACAAATGTTAATACACTGCCCTCCAGACTGATAGTGCTGTCAATAACATGGGGCATCACTTTCTTCCGTCCATCCCTTGCCTGGAAAAAAGATGTGCTTATTAACTGTTTAATTCCTCTGCATTAATATTCATGTTTACATTTAAATATAAGCCACAATTATAATGCTCTAGACCAATTTTTCTTCACACTGTGAGGCACAGTAGTCCCTCAGGTAAGATGCAATGTAGTTATGTAAACTAGTTCAGGTATACATGATTTGAAGCTTCCACAGCAACTGTATGTAATGAGACTTTCTCAGACAAGCAACCATGTTAATGTGGAATCAACATCCATATGCATAAACTGTATGTGCCTACAGACATGAATGTGTGGATATATACTTCCTTGTCCCTTCATATTTTCACAGTGTGGTGCTTAATTAAGCTTAGGGACAACTGATATACAGTTGTGTGATATTTCAGACCTGTATGCCAGCACATGTCTTTAACTGATTTTGTAATAATGCTCCAAATTTAAAATTATATGAATCTTTGTACTGAATTACATTTAAATTAAGTTCCTTGAAATTTCTAAAACACAAAACTTCATACATTTAGAAAACTTCTAATGGTACAATTAATGTACAACAGTATCACTTCCTTTCAAGTCAGCAAAATGATCAAACAGATTTCATGTAATTGTACACAGCCAATAAAGTTAAGCAGCCTCCTCTATCAAACACAGCGTCAGACAACAGCGGTGCCTATTACGTAACTGTTTTCTGTGTTGTCCATAATGGGGCTAAATAAGGAGCAGCGAAGACTATTCAAGTTAGTTACGAGTTACAAGTTGGCCAGGGAAGAGTATTCAGTCAAGTAATTGTAATACTGCAGATAGCAGCAGCTGTGAGATTGTAAACTGTGTGATTGTATGAGCGAGTGTGGAATAAAATTCGCTATATCCAATAAGGCATGAAATTATTTGTCATGTTATACACCCAACACGTCACAATATTATTGTCTTAATTATATGCACAGTACCAAAATGGAGCATAAGGAAAAATCAGTGATCAAATTTAAAACACTTCTTATGGGGAGGTTCATAAATATATACAAACAATTTTAAAAGATGGTGGATTTGAGGTTCTAACGGCAGTGATGATGAAGAATATAGCATCTTCCAGGTTGTAAAGCTGTGTAGATCGGACAGAGCAGAAAGTAAGGTTTTCTGCTTGATTCTGCTGGTTTATTACATGGCTTACTTTCTTACCCTGAAGATGGAGGCAATATCATACCAATTTTGTACTATATAGCATTACAACATGATCTTCAAATTTAAAAGAAATATAAGATTACGCTCTTCCAGGGTGTGACACTGTGTAGTCTGGTAGGAAGTCACCAAGCTTTGAAGCAACCTGCTGTCATCTACAGGGTGGAAGAAGATGGAAGCTGTGGTTCATCTGAAATGTTGGGAACTATCTACCAGTCTACACAGTGTCATATTGCAGATGATAGCTGTCTTTATATTCACTGATGTGAGAACCTCAGATATGAAATTGAAAGAAATATGTTGAACTACTAAAGAGGTACCAATAATTCAATTTTACATAACTTGAGAGTGGTATGCAATAATGGTGGGTGCTTACTTAACAATTGAATATATAAAGCTACAGTATACCTCAAATAATTCTCGTTCTTTGCCTTCAACATTTTCAAAAACTTTAGCTCCCAAGAAACGTACTGTCTCCACTGTTTCAGATCCCCATGGAAACTCAGCCTTAATCTCGACCACCTGACCATCAGGTCCACTCTGGATATCAGTAAGCAGAAATCTTCCTGGAGATGCCGAGAACTGAAATCAATTGAAATGAGTATCCCGTCATGCACACAGATATCTTCAGGTTAGTTATGTCTAGACTTCTCTATTCCACACTGCTATTTTGGGGTTGGTGGAGAACATTATGTACAGTGTGCCCCTGTGTTACAGACATTTGCTTATGGAATTTCATGCTTCCATATATTACCAAACATGACCATTAAATTCATAATACGGACCATAAATTCAACCTTATGGAGATCTAGAATAAAAATTGACTCTTTTTTATATATAAAATGTGAAACAACAACAACAAATTCAGCCAGAACTACTGCTTTTTTTAAAGAAACGATTATTTGTTAAGAAACTAAGAACATATATATCCATGGATTGATGATGTAGCAGGCTATGTCGCTAGCCATTGGCCAGCTAATGCATATGTATCAGTGCTGTAAGGAGGTGGCTGGTATTCCATCTTAATTTTGCGGTGTTCAGTGTATGACCCTTATGAAAGATGTATGGAAAGAGACCACTAAGTTCAGATGCAAGCAGCATACTCAAAAGAGCATGGAAACTGCATCTACTGTTAATCCTGATGGGTAGAAAAGTGTGTCTTCATGACAACTCTGGACCAATGCAGTTTCCATAGAAAGCCAACTTCCCCTTTAACATGGGAGTCAATGGAAAAACACGGTTCACTCTATGGAATTTCATTTTACAGACACTTTTTCCAGAATATATCCCTTCTGTAACATGGGGGCATACTTTTTTTTCTTCATAGGTTGCATCCTGTTGTGTGTCACAGACAATATATAATATGTAAGAACTATGCTACATTCAACACAACAAATATTCCAGTTATTACATTATATCTCTGCTATATGATAAAATAAATATGAATCGTGTATGGCTAATAACATAATCACTATTATCCTTTCCAAATCACTACACAAGAACAAGATAATCATGTTGACATCATATACAACCTAACGTACAATTAATACACATGAAGTTTCACTGCTCCCACCTTCTTGTGAGTGACTGTCATTATACTGACTTACATTTTATAGCTTCTTATTTTTCATGGTCTGTATTAGATTTGATTATAGGATGGAACATATAGTACAGGGGCAGTGAGAAATACATAGAAATCTCAAATAAAAAGATCACCTGGGTGACCCAGGCATAAATGGGACATTAAAGTGGATTTTGGTGATAACTGAGGGAGAAATAATAAGGGATGAAATTAGGAACCAATTTTTTAGAGTTGTAGTTGGAATTCAAAATATGTTAACAGTGGTAGAAGGTAAATGATTACAATGTTTCAACCATATCAAAAGAAATTGATAGAATAAGGATAGTGAGAACAGAATTAGAATTAGCATTTAAAGGAAACTGGCCTATGGGATGACCCCAAAACAAGATCAGTTAGCCATGTGCTGGAAGATGTCAAGAAGAGAAAAAAAAAGCTGGTAAGAAATCAAGAACAGAAGACTGTGGGGGGAAAAAAGAGAGACTGGAGACCTCTGGTCAACAGATCCATCTAAAACAGAAACAATGTTAGATGAGGAGGAGAGGGGTGTGAATTTAGGGACTTGATTCAAACAATGAAGCTGGACTTGGCACTTAAATCTCACAGGGAGATGCTAAGGAAAATGAAGAAACCTCTTTCATGACAACTGCTTACCTGGTTGAGATATGAATTTGGTAAATGTAAAATTAATGTGACCCTGTACTTAAGTAATTACACACTATGCCATGAAGACATATGAAGGAGTAGAGGAATACTTCTACATATTTTTAACCTTGGCATTAGACGAAGTTGACTGGCCAGTTTCACACCCTGGCTACTTTACCCACAGGGAAAGCACTCCCAGCACTCACTAGAAGGAAGACTGGGTGGGCCCTTGAACTAGTCTGGAAGATGAGGGGAAAAGAAAAATCTCTAGACCTTGCTAGGAATGGAACACTGATTCCTATGCCATCCAGCCCACAGCCAGTCACTATACCATCTGAGCCCTCCTGGCTCCTGACATGAACTCGGTAACTCCTAAAATTGTCTCCTGCATATTGACACAAGATTCCACAACAGACAAAGCAGACATAAAATGGAACACTAAGGTAGCAGAAATATCCTACCTACACATTTTATATCATGCTCCCACAATGCAATTTTACCTGCACGAGCAGCCATTTGAACTCATTACAATAAGCCCTTGCTAATCTGGAGTAACTAGGGGCAGAGGTCATATAGATTAAGCAATAATCAGATTAGTGAAGCAAAAGTAACCCTAAAAGACAAGAACAATTAGAACACAAATAAATGGAAAACTTAATGATATAAATAGTGCTGATAAAAATAAATAAATATACATCACTGTAAAGCCTATATTTAAAAACTACAAAAAAAGACAATACATTTATTCATCGATAGAAGACAGAATTTGTACTTGTTTCTGAAGGCAATAATGCAGCTTTGAAGAAACTGTAAAGTTTTGTCGGAACAGGTAAGTGACTCATATGCCTTTCTAAGTGCCATGTGTCTTTTAAAGTATGTACTCAACTGTGAACATCATTATTCATTTTGTGTATTCTGATCTGGATTATTTGACATCTAGATTAACTGTAACCAGACTAGTTAAGAGTTTACAGTAAACTCAAAACATAATTTGTAGAGTGCAAGCAAAAAACAACCAACAATCAGTGTGTATTTTGACTCTACCGAATTTCAACAAGATACACTTGAAGTTTCCTTCATTCTGAGTGACATCTGTAAGAGAACATTACATTGCAGATAGAGTGGCAACAGCAAATCACTTAGCACGACTACTGGAACAGAGTTAACTTCAGTTCATCAGATGATGGGATTCACAGAAAATGTGTTCATGTTACCTTTCTCCACCATATTTTTCTCTGATGCTGCCACTGGTAAAAACGTTGCATGGCATTCCCTGGCCGAGCAAATATGCATGACCAAAGCACTGTGTGCTGCAGAGGCTGGAAGTATCTTGTCTCCTCCTGGCCTGTGCCATTTGCAGAGCCTCTGATTTCTTGTTTTGCCTCAGCAATTCCAAATGGCAACTGTGAATTGCTAAGCTTCTTCACATACAAAAAAGGTTCACTCAAATCTAAAATATAAATAGTAATACTGTATTTTAGCATCATGTTGGGTCTTCTATTCAGTTTCAGTCTCACAATATATGTTCTACAAGTTTCTACAATTACAACATGTTTCAGCCACTATTTCTGGCCATCATCATGTGGTTCTTATACAGTCACTCTTAACTTATGTCCAAATTAGGTTTGACCCGTTATGCAATCATTCACTCACTCACGAAGCTGAGCCTTTCTTGAGAAGCCGTCAATTGTGCAGCTACTCAAGAATTTTCCAGCATTTTATGGAACCCGAAGGTTCATTACCATGTTCAAGAGAGCCCTCCACTGGTCCCTATCCTGAGCCACAGTAATCTAATCCATACCATCCCATCCTATCTCCCTAAGATCCATTTTAATATTGTCTACCTACCTATGCCTTGGCCTTCCAAGTGGTCGCTTTCCATCTGGCTTTCCCACCAATATTCTATAAGCAGGGCTTGAGGTGGGGCGGGATGGCATCCCGGTTCTTTTCTAAATGGCTTAAAAGCATCCCGTTACTTCTTTGGCAGTAAATGCAATGTACAATACCCAGGGCTTGGGGTGGGGCGGGATGCGGTGGGATGGCATCCCGGTTCTATTTTCATTCCACCTCAAGCACTGCCTATAAGCATTCCTCTTCTCCCCCATTCATGCTACATGACCTGCCCATCTCATCCTCCTTGACTTGACCATTCTAATTATACCTGGAGAAGAGTACAAGTTATGAAGCTCCTCATTATGCAGTTTTCTCCAACTTCCTGTCACTTCATTTCTCTTCGGTCCAAATATTCTCAATACCCTGTTCTCAAACACCCTTAGTCTATGTTCCTCCCTTAATGTCAGAGAACCAAGTTTCACACCCATACAGAACCACAGGCACAATTATAGTTTTGTATATTCTAATTTTTATTTTTGGACAACAGACGAGAAGACAAAAGGTTCTGGACTGAGTGGTAGCAAGTGTTACCCGAGTTCAATCTCCCCTTAATTTCCTCCTCAACCAGATTTTGGTTTGTTATTGTCATTCCCAAATATCTGAACTGTGCTACATTTTCAAAACATCTGTTTCCTATTTAATGTCATGATTTTGCCCTGCATTTTGGTGATGACACAGCAACATATACTTAGTTTTCTCTGTGTTTACATCTAGACCAACCTCCTTACTAGGGTCAATTAAAGTTTATGTGTTTTTCTCTACTGCATCTATATTATAATATTATTATAATATTAGATTCACACCATCAGCATAGACCAAAAGCTGATGTGTCCTGTTTAATTTCAGTCCCTCCTGGTTCTCCTGGACCTTCCTAATGGCATATTCTAGAGCAAAGTTGAAAAGGAGTGGCGATAATACATCTCTTTGTTTCAGACCATTCTGGATAGGAAAATTATCAGAAAAATGTTTACCTACTTTACCATATTTTTTGTTTAAACACATTTTAATCAGCCTAACTAGTTTCATGGGTACTTCCCTCCTAACTGAATCATAGGCTATCTTGAAGTCTACTACTAGAGGGCTCATTTTAAATGCAGGGCCAGTGAAAAAAATAGATTGTGGATAAATGCAGTGCAAGGGCTATTTAATGTCCATCCCTTCATTCTAACTTAAACTAGTCTAATACAGTAGTTTAGCAAAAGTATTACCTTTGATAATATTTGTTGCTGTAAGACCATGGGAGTGATATGGAAATATGTTTTCATCTGTGTTTACAACCATGCTTAGAAGCCATTCTTGGAAAATGTTGTTCTTCAGGAGTTCACCAGCAAATCCAAACTTGAAATACTCAATAAAATTGGTGGAATCCTTGTTACCCAGAACAGGCCAAACAAAACACTGCTTTTCACACAACTGTAAGACCTTATGAAATGAACTTGTCATTTCAAAGAGATATACTACTGTTAATAAAAGTTTATATTTGTTAAATACCATATAACACTAAGTTATATTTCTGTATGTATGTATAAGTTACAAAACTGGAAACACTATTTCTGGTCCAGATTTTCATCTTCTGTTAGTAAGGAATCTCGGGGAATGAGAGGAATGTTGCCCTGCGGGGCCACAAAATAACTTTCTTCTGTTAGAGCAGCATTTGACATGACTTCTTTGCGACAATTTCCATCTGTAACAATGTCATCATGAAGATAAAGAGTTCTGAAACAAAAATGAGAACATAAAACTTATTTAAATGTACTGTGGGAACATCCCACATTATCACGCATTTCTGCAACGCTCGCTCTTCACATCGCTTTTCACCATCACGCGCGCTAACCAACCAGATTGCTTCAAACGTTCATATTTATACTGGGATCGCTCCTGGCCCGCATCTACGTCATTACGCGCGCTAGCCAATCAATTCTTCCTCCTCACTTTCGAGTTTGGCTCCGCCCCACTGACCGGCGTATAAAAAGGAGCGACTCCAGAGCCGAGTTATTCAGTTCGATTCAGTTCATCATCAGCCTACGAGCTAGCCGCATCAAGCAACTTCAACCAGCAGGCTTCGTCGCCAGCGCTCGGTCTTCGGAGGCATCGGCAGGCTGCGCCGGGCACGACTGCCTCGGCCCTCCAGCGCTCTCACACCCGACTCACTGGGGCACAGCGCCTGGACTCGCCGGTGGTCGTGTTACGGTCCGACCCACTGGGCTTCTGGCGTAGCCACTGCCTCATGGCTCCTACGACCGCGCACGACTAGCCTTTTCACCAGCCATTCACCGTAACTAGCCTTTCTCCTTACCGGCACGCGCCGCGCTACCTCACCGGTCAATCATCTCAGCAGCCACGGTCCTTTTCAGGGCCAACAAACTGTTCCGAAGAAGTGGGTTGTCATCGGAGTAATGACAAGACTACACACGTTGACAAGAGCCCCACAGTACCATAAGATACTGATTATTTTGTAATCAGTAACCTCTTTCAATTACATGGATATTTATTATCATTTCTTTAATTAAATGAGAACATGAAACTCATTTGACCCATAAGAGACTGATTATTTTGTAATTAATAATATTTCTCAATTACATATTTATTTATTATTTTTTTAATTAAATCATTTGCCAATTCATGTTTAAGTAATTACTCAGTCCAGCAAATTCGCATTTAATTCCAGTTTGAAATATTATTTATGAAGTGAAAGTATTACAGAATATTACATCAGTGTATTTATAATCAAATTTGGGTGCATTTAGACTTCTGCCATACTACCAATGCTATCTGGTAGCATTCATCATTCCCACAATACCTTGCCTTTATGAGGACTGTCAAAAGAGACAACATTTAATAGGGTAGAAAATAATGCAGTTTAAGAGTTACAGCTTGATATGAGACCTGATGTATTCACAGCACCGAATATTGGGAGTGTGATCTTTTTGGATGTGGCACCATGTAGTTTGATAAAGAAATACCAACATTTCAGAGGGAAGTGCTGTCTCCATCTTTTTTTTTTTTATTCTTTTTAATTTTTACTTTAATTTATTCTGTTGATCCATACTGGTACAACCATTGGATATAGAAAAGTAAAAAATACAAGACAGTACAATATTAATAATTATGATATATAAATAAATAAGACATGCAACCATTAAAACATTTTGTTGAAAATATAAAAATAATAAAACACTGTAAATACTGACACAATGATGTTGCTATTACCATCAGAAATATATCTAGTTTTATGTATAAAAAATTCATAGAATAGAACACTGTAAATACTGACACAATGATGTTAATATTACAATCAAAAATACTTATCTAGTTTTATGCATAAAAAATTCACCCACAGTATGAAAAGAATGCTCATGTAAATACTTTTTAATGTTCTTAATATCACATGCCAAGTCCTTAATGTCAGCTAGAAGATGGTTATATACCTTAATGCCTGCATAGGCATTAAGGTCATGTGAGTCGTAACTTGAAAAAAATTAGAATTATTCCTGGTATTAAAATTATGAATTTCAGAATTTTGTTTAATCAGTCATTTATTGGTAACCATAAATAGAGCCAAGGAGAGTATGTTCTGAGATGCTAGAGGTAGTATATTTAAAATTTTAAAAAATGTTCTGCAAGAATCCCTGGGTCTTGCTTCCATTAGTATTCTAACCTTTCGCTTTTGGAGTTTGAAAATATTCATACTGTGAGAAGAAGTTCCCCAGAAAATTAATCCATATTTTATAACTGAATGAAAATAAGCATGACAGATTATCTTTAGGGAATGTAAAGATAAGAAAGGTCTGATTGCTGTTGCAATGTAACATGCTTTGTTTAATTTGGAAGCCAACATATCAGTGTGACTCTCCCAAGACAGAGTATTGTGAAGTACTAGCCCAAGAAACTTTAATTCAGTACTACTGGCAATAATTTTGTTTTTATATTTAGGGGAAAAGATGGAAACAGTTGGTTCTCCAAAATGCTGATACTTGTCTATCAAACTGTAGAGCATCACATCCTTGAAGACTGTAATGGTGGCTTCTGAATCTCATACATAAGATTCAGAATTAATTAAGAAATTAAAGAGATCATGAAGTTCAAGAGCCTATGTCTTCTTGGATACTTAAAAAAGAAACAGACACTATGGAACCAGAACTGTACTGTTCTGCATAATCATAAAACTGACAGAACAACAGGAATTGGAAACAGAATAAGTTATACAAAAACAAACTAAGAAAGATGCACAGACTGACGTACATGAACTGTGGAATGATGAATATTTGTACTGAAAATGTATTTACTCGTTTTAATGACCCTAACAGCAACAGTTCAAGAATGTAGATAACGAATTTTCTCCTCACATAAATTTTGTTTTTTTCAATTGACTGAATCACTTCTGCGAGAAAGCAGTAATTCCTAATCCTTCATTTTGTAACACAAGTGCTAAGAGAATGTTGGACCTAAAGACTGACTTATTTACTGTTGATGTGCCAGAGATACAGGGGTCAAATGAGTTGTTACTATAATATAAAATATGTTACCCTTTCTTTAACAGAAACTAGTATGGTGCAAAGTATTTTCTCTCCTACCTGACACAAATCAAACCTCTGTGGTATATTTTCCAGATACAGATCTTGTTCCTACCTAGCGAAACCAAATTACAGCAATAAAATTAACATACAGCAATTGTCCTTCACGATGGAAATTCTTGTGACACACATTCATATCAATGCAATACCCAGCTAGAAAATACTGACCTATCCTCAAGTACAGATATCATGGGTTCCACACCAGTTGTATCAATCACACGAATCTGATCTGCAAATCTTATAGCATCTTCCAGACGTTCTATTCCTTTCTTATTAGCAAAGTCCACCAGTGACAACCGTTCTAGGAGGTCAATAGTTTTTTGATCTATCTTTGTTCTAGGAGGCAGCTTATTCTCTTCTATTGGCTTCACAATTGGTGTAGGAGGAATTTTTGAATTCAGTGATCTTGCATTTTGCTGTAGAAACCAAAATTTTTCTAAGAATATGTTATGTTTCCACAACCTGTGCATGTCAATGGAGGACAGAGTATATCTGAAATAAAATGCAATTCAATAAAATGAATTCATTCACATATGCACGCAAATGCAAATACACACGCATCCACAAACTATATAAAATTATCAAGTTAGAAAGGGAAAATGTAAGCTCAGAAGCTTTCCCCAAACCCTGTCAGCCTTCTAGGCTGAACTATGTGCCAATAAGTCTATCAATAGAAGGTGAAATGAAGGGTTCCGAAACAATATTACAAAATCTTAATTGCAAACTAATATAATCCCAACTAACAGTATCAGGTGAGTGAAATCCAGCATTCTCATATATGGTTATCAGCCATTAGGCAGCCACCTAAGACTGAATCTGAGAGCCATACAAATCAATATTTATTTACATTTTACACAATTTGCTTGTTCCAGATTATGCAAGTACCTCAACACTGATCTACTCTCATTCTGAAATTATTTCTTACAAAGGTTATTAAAGAAATGTACATATGCTGTATTCAAGTTCACTAAAGTACTAACTAATACATAGGACAAATAATCATATTAAGTATTCATATAATTTTACACCTTGAATAATTTAATGATTTCAATAAAATTTTTTAACTGCTCTGATAGTAAGACTAAAAGTAGAAAACACCCTGCTACGAAATGTATCGCATGCCACAAGTTGTTGGTGGATGGGGAGTGGGAGCATCATGTTTCAGGCCATCACTGGCTTTACGTAAAATATTGTCATTGTATTTTGGGGGGCATTACTGACACATCACTTTGGATATTTTTCTACAAATCAATCTGCATCTTTGTACTACATTATTACATCAAATTAAAAGGTAAACACTTGATTCCGAAAAGATAACCTCAAATTTTTCAGCACAATATTTATTAATTCTTCATATAATCTACCTATTTACATCGTGTACTTGTGTTTTATTACTTTTTTTTTTCATTACCTCTGCGCTACAGATTTCAGAACATTAAAAAATTATTTCCACGAAATCGAGTGAACAAGGCTGTTGTAGAACATGGCAGCTATAAATTTGTTTGCTGTATTTTCTGGCTTCGTTTCCTTCACTTTTATAATAGGTCTTCATAATTTTTTGACGAATAACGAAGAAAATGGATGTGAAATGACTTACATGTTCGAATATCCACAATATGTTGTAAGTTTTAATAATGTATACAAATTAATTGGACATTGTGACTAGTTCACTCCCTACGCTCCTTACTACGAAGAGTGAGGTTAAATATGTCTAAAGTGTCATGCCGATTACAGAAGTGAGGTTATGTAAGCGAAAGTACTACAAGCAAAACAATATATGTATTAAATTTTGAGCAGCTTTTCTTTTTGTATATAGCGGCTCTCATTGCCAAGTGTCACAGCTCGAAGGTACCCACGTTATGGACTCTATGCATATGGTGAAGGGCATATGACAGAGAGACTAAGGGCAATGAAATTCGGCGGTATTCCAGTTTTGTTTATTCCAGGAAACAGTGGGTCACATAAGCAAGGTAAACATAATCCTCTATCGACTCAATTATGTTATTTTAATGTGGAAGGTATACATAACATTTACAAATGAAATATTTTTTCTAGTACGATCACTGGCGTCTGTGAGTCTTCGGAAGACGTTAAGCTCTCATACACCCTTCCAATTTGATTATTTTACGGTGGACTTGAATGAAGAATATTCAGCATTATTTGGTGGTGTTCTCAAAGACCAGAGAGAGTTTGTTCACCATTGCCTACACAGAATTTTGGAACTGTATCGAAATAATGCAAATAAACCAACTTCTGTTATCCTTATAGGACATTCCATGGTTTGTAATTTAGTTAATTGTCGTTCTCATGTTGTATGTATATGCTATGAAACTGTTATTCTTCAGTAGTAAAGAAATTATGCTTGGTGGATAGGATGTTTGGTGTTACTGTGTTAAATTTATATTATACGTATGGAGGATAAACATATAGACATGTAATGTACTTAAATTTCACTAGAGAATCAATTTGTGTTTGCAGGGTGGAATGGTTGCTAAAGGTCTATTTTTGGATCCCAATTTTGATAAAAATTTGGTTAATATAATTATCACTCTAGTAACTCCACACAGAAGCCCTGTGCTTGCACTTGACTCATTTATAACAAGATATTATGATAATGTCAATGCATATTGGAGAGCCAATAGAAAAGCAGAAGGAAACCTGAGTCACGTGACATTTGCAAGTATCGGAGGAGGTCATAGGGATATTCTAGTTAGATCTGGATTGACCCAGACTGAAGAAGCAGATGTTAATATTTTGGTAAGTTGGAGTGTCTTACTCAAAATTACGTTAAAATTTGTTTTCAGTACTGATGTATACATTTCCTTTACGTATGGAGGATACCTTGTTTCATTGTCAACCTAGACATTGCCTATTTTGATCCCTTTTATGGTATTGCTATGCTTCTTGAAAAAGAAATAGAGGGGTTTACTTTAAGGGCAAACTGAAGAATTGAGTTTGGACCCGTATGTTCTGAAGTATTGTATTTATTTGATTGTGGATTCTTTAATGGTGCTGTCAGTGTCTCTGACTTTAAAGCATCAACTGATATGATGACTAATAATGAATTAGAAAGGTTCATTCATTCAGTCATTCAGTAATTCATTCATCCATTCATTCATTCATTTAATTTGCATTCATAATTGCTATGACAGTAACACTTGAACAGGTCACATCATTAAGTACATCATTCTTGAAATCCTTTTGCCCAAATGCCTAAAGGATTAGAATTTGTCAACAATAAATAATCACTCTTGACATGGTTAACCTATAATTAAAGTATAACAAACACTATCAAAACCAAATAAATAACCAAATTACATACAATACATAAACCAAAATGAAAGTTAACCTTATGAGTTTATCGAGACAATTTTAAGAACATAAAAGAACTGTGAATTCTACACAGCTACTCATGCAGACACAACACCTTTCAAAACAAGGTCAACCTACAAGAGAAAACAGAACAGAAACGCTTAAAACAATAGACACACATCAAGTGGAACACGTAATCTAAAAACCAACACAAAATTATGCAAGAGAAGACCACACCTGCTGTGATCAGAAAAACAACATTATTTTAATAAGACCAGCTACAACCAAAACAATTAATATTTTAATATTTTAGCATATAACTTTGTACATCAACATTGAAGAGAAGACCACTTCTGCAAAGATCAAGAAATCAACATCATTACATAATGTAACAGTTATGGATGTTAAATAAATCAATGTAATCAATGTAATCAATCATTAATAACACCAAACTACAACAAATGAAACATTTTAGTATTTCAATTTTAATATTTTGCATATAGTTCATAATTTGGCATTAACGTTGGCAAATAGCATATATGACCCCCCCCCCCCAAACGTAAACATTGGCCAGTGTAGGGGAAAGAGAAAATATAAATATTTTATTTGATACTAGTGTATTTCCCATTGAAAATGTGACAGGAAATCACGTTATTTTTTATATAAACTTATGTACTTTTCTGTCCTTTCCTCCATTCTTCCACATTCCTTTGCAATCCTGTTTAAGTATTCATCCAGTCTTCATCCCTTTTCTCCTTCCTTTCTCTGTCTCGCACACATTAAAAAAATTTAGGTAACTATCATTCAAAACATATTCCTATCCCATCCATTTTATTTGTCCTGTCATCATTCAGTTACCTCTTCCTACCTCCCTCTCTTTTATGTTAAAATAGTTCAGATAAATATCATTCAAACCATGCCAACATATCTACAAATTTGATTTTTAAATCTATCCCATCTTTGTTTTCCCCAGAATATAAAAACAATTCATATCCATTGCAGATCACTGTATTTTTCTGTGATGTGATGCCATGTAGTTTGGTAGACCGGTGCTGACTTTCATAGGACAGTGTTGCTTCAGTCTTCAAGGTACAAGAATAAAAACTATGAAGACTGAAGTAGCACGTTCCTTCAAAATATTTGTTCTCATCTTCAAAACTGTACAGTCACATCCCATGATACAGTAATCTTTGTGTTCACTGCTCTGAAACCCTTACCCCTCACATTCATATCTAATGCACAGATGAAATTGTACTGTTACAAAATTTTATTTTAATAACTACATTTTGAAATATACTTCAGTTATTTGTAAAGACATTTCACTGTGTAAAAAGGATTATCTGTGAACCTTGGTGTTTTATTGTAAAATAAATAGATGAAGGTTGTTGTGTTTTATTGCCTGTTACAGAGCACTGCAGTGCCCACTGTGTGGCTGTCCACAGATCACCTTTGCAGTGTGTGGTGCAAGGAGCTGGTGCTTGTGATTGTTAGAACACTGTTTGATATTGTGAACCTCACCACAAAGCAGGTGTCCAAAAATGTACAGGAGCGCAAGTCTGTCTTCCATTATCATATGATACAGGTATACCGTGCTATTACATCAGCACTTTGGAGTGTTGCCTCTTCAAAAGAAATTGTAGATCATAGAATCCCTTTGTGAGGTATCCAGGATAGCTCAGTCAGTATAGTGATTAGGCTATGGGCTGTGGTAAGGGTTTGATTCCTGACAAGAGCAGATAGTTTCCTCTTTTCCACAGCATCCAAACTGTCTCAGGATTTCAACCAGCCTTATACAGCCATGGAAACTGAGGACTCTTTTTCCAGGTGTAAAGTAACCAGTGACCTCTTTCCAGTGCCGAGGTTAAGAATGTGTGGAGCTATACCTCCATCCTGGCACATGACTTCGTGAAGTGGAGCTCAATTAACTACCAGGAACACTTTACCTTTTCTTAAGCCTGGAGGAATAAGTCATTGGTCAACTTGTGAAGAAATTCCATACATTTACAACTCTTGATATCCCTCTTATAGTAGGCTGGTTGGGACCCATAACTGATCAGCATTATGTGATAAGAAATAATTCCAAGAATTTAACCTTTTACTGTATTAGATTGGAGATTTTCATTGCAGTGAAAATGTAGATTGCAACCTCTGGGTTATGATGCCATGTAATCTGGTAGGCAGTAACCAGATGCCAGACTGTATGAACTGTAGTCTATATTAACTTTACTGACTGAGCTGTCTTGGCTTTCTGGTATTAGAAATCTTTACTAGTGGTAACTGTTCACAAAAGTAGATCAGTAAGTTTAGTAGTTATTAATTTTTAATATATTCTATTATTTCTATACAGATGGAGAACACATATCAGAAATTCTTTCTAAAATGTCTTTATGACTCCAAACAGATTGTCTTTTTTTAATGCCATTAATATAGAAGATTATATTGAAATAGCAAAATACATTTGTTTGGAAATTTATAATCTTATAGTTATCTTGTTTGAAGTCAAGAGCACAGTCTTATTGGTTATAAGACTCTTTAGTTCAGAGAGAGCCCCACATTTGAGAGGAATATAGTTCTGCCATCTTCGGTGTCGAAGATCAAGCCATGAAAGATGCCAAGAGAGTCAGGCAGAAAGCTGAACCACTGGTCTGTTGTATGGCTTACCATTCAACCATGATGACCATGATGATGTTTTTGTCTCTCCCGGAATTTCACAGTGTTACAGCCCAGAAGACCGTAATGTTCATAATCACCACTGTGATAATCTCAAATCCAACAACTCATGGACTGTTTTCTCTTGTAGTTACTATTACTGCTATTTTATAAATTTTACTCTTTATGTTGTGCATTTAATTTAGAAAGTAAATGTTTGTTTGTGAACTTCCATGGTAAAGTATAAATTACATTAATGGAAAATCAAAACTAATTCACTTGAATTGGCAAGAGGAGGCAGAAGAGTTTATTTTGTTGAATGGACTACTGGTTATACTGTTTAAGTATCAAGACTGTGTAGCTACAGATTGTAGGCTCCTAAATGAATTGGAAAGGATTTGGAAGGAACCAGTCATGACCTGGACAAGGTACTATCCTGGCATTTGCCTGGAGGAACTGATAAAAACCTTAAAGACAAGAGTCAAACTAGCTGGTGTCTCAGCTGAGATTCACACCAAGCACTTCCAGAATACAAATCTAGAGCATTGCCTCCAGATTAGAAGGGTTTATAACTTATTCTGTAATATACAGAATTTGTACATAACAAATTTTTAACAAAGCATCTCATTCATAGGATGGAAATGTTTAACATCTAATATGTTTTAATCTCTGCAGAGAACAGCAGGGAAACATTTCTCTACCTCATTCCATCCTCATGATGTATACTTTGATTATAATGGGTTTTGGACGGAGAGTATACAACGACAGTTCACCTTTCATGAACCCAATGGAGTTTTTACGGAAACATACATCATGATCCGATTGCTTGATGATCCAAAGCATGAAATGTTGGCAGTGGAAGCTGTCAATAACAATGACAGGGATTGGGTATTTGCGTGCGTTGCTAATGATGTTCATAATAATGTTAGGATATGGTGAGTATAACATTTATTGACTGTGAAACAGACACCTTGAAACATGATCATTTATTTTGTTAGACAAAAAGTGAATACAAAGTAATGTAAGGCTGAGCTCATTGACTTTAGTACAAATGCAAAATGTGATAGAAAATGAGTTCGAACATGGGGCTTATAGTGAGATTTAAGAGCCTCAAAGCAGTGAGTATCATGATTATGATGTTCTGGGTTGTGATGCCCTCTGTGTTCATAGATAGGTACTGATGTTTCTGAGGAACCTGCTGCCTCCATCTTTGTGAAATAAATGTTTTTTTTTAATGCTAGTGGGGTGGGACTAAGTCCCTTGTACTGCGGCCACTTCTGGCCTATTGTACCAGCCCCAGATAATAGGTGAGCAATTGGTGGAATGAAGATTGGCAGGGGAAACCGAAGTACTCGGAGAAAACCTACCCTAGCGCCATTTTGTCCACCACAAATCCCACTTGACCAGACCCGGGATCGAACCCGGGCCGCCGCAGTGGAAAGCCAGCAACTAGCCACTTGAACTATGGCACAGCCCGATATAAATGTAGGTGCTACTCGTAATCTACCAAACAACATGGTGGTGTATCTCAGAAGACCTTAATCTTTTGAATGTTTCTTTATTTAGCCACACTGGAATCAATCTGTCAAATGAGACAAAGTTTTTACCATCACGCCATTACCGGAGGAAATTTGTGTACCTAAATTTGGCAGCATTGAAACATAAATCATTTACACATGTCATCCTACGAGTGAAACCGACCAAGGACATGGTAAGTGCTTACCATTTCCACATTAATATCATTTACCAAGTAGTTGCTATTCTTATTACCTACAGAGAGCAATTCAAATTGTTTGAAATAATGGAAGGTCTCTCACTTGGAAACAATGTGGAAGCATGGGAATATAATGAAACAAACAGCTGTACAGCTGTACACATTATTAGCCCAGGATATGGTTTCTTTCCTTGTCACTATCACAGGATACATGTAACAGGTAAGATTTTAAAGAAGGAATAATGATTAATAAATTACAGTTTACTCATGTAATTGAAGGGAGATTGGAAGCAAGGATTTGAATCACATCAAATCACACTAATTCAATGCTTGTACATGGCTTTAACATCTGTGACTGCCATTCCTACTGGCAGGATACTGAGTAAGTTTTATGATATCCTCAGAAATTCTGTTTTACAGTCACAGTAGGAAGTACAGAGAAACAGAACAGTTACATTTTTATATACATTTGATAGTAACTGCAGGAATTCATAATTAATATTGGTTAAGGCAGCATTTCTCAGACTGGTGTATTACTCATAGGGCAGCAAATCATCTTGCCAAGTTTTTTTATTACTAGTGCGGTGGGACTAAGTCCCTTGTACTGCGGCCACTTCTGGCCTATTGTACCAGCCCCAGATGATAGGTGAGGGTGATTGTGGAGCAATTGATGGAATGAAGATTGGCAGGGGAAACCGAAATATTTGGAGAAAACCTGCCCCAGTGCCACTTTGTCCACCACAAATCCCACCTGACCAGACCCGTGATTGAACCCAGGCCACCGCGGTGGGAAGCCAGCGACTATCCACTTGAGCTATGGCGCAGCCTAGCTTGCCAAGTATCATGTAAGTCCACATTTTCACCATTCCCTTTGAAAACTGTTTTATGTGGGTGTTACTTTTATTCTGAATCCACTCAAAATAGGCTTGCATGTATGGCAGATATAAAGGTGGCCGGTGTTCATTTCTTTCACAAGAGCATTAAGAAATTACATTGTATAGTTTCCAAGGCTTGTTTTTTCTCCCCATGAGGTCCAGGACTTTGTATCAATAACAAAATTCTGAGAATCAGTTAATCAGGGCCCTGTTGATGGCTGGTTTAGAATCAAATGATACTTGATGTCCCTGTGCTTAATTAACCGTTATGTCATAAATATGCGCAGTGGAGCTGAAGTATAGCTCCACACATTAACCTTAGTAGTAGATGGAAGTGAATAATTAATTTCATGCTTTGGCTACTATACCTATGCCAAAAGCACCCCTAGTATCCATTCACCTTCAAATAGGAGGCGGGGTGGTCCAGTCTAGATAATGACTGAACTTATGTATAGAGCTGCAAAATTAAAATGTTTTTACTAGGCAACTTAAATAGCCCTGTGTATGTGTCCAGACTCTGAAGGAATTAAGGTGACATGTGATGCTAATAAACTACAGTATTACATGTTCATGTTCTTTCAGCATTGTTTTTGTTGAATGCAATTTGGTGGATGAAAGTTCCAGTCTAGTATATTACATGTTCATGTTCTTTCAGCATTGTTTTTGTTGAATGCAATTTGGTGGATGAAAGTTCCAGTCTCTTCCTTCTTCCCCCAGTCTTTCCTTTCTCTTTAATATTGTCATGATTTTAGTGACTACAGATGGGGTTTGAATAGGTAATTGGATTTATTGAACTCTTATAACTTGTAACTACAAGTAAGGATTATGGTGTCACTGTTCTGCACACTTCACAAATCACTATAGGACACACTAGGTCTTCTCAGTTTGTTACAGTCTTCACTATCCATTGCTTTGTAGCAGCTACCAATGGTGGATGTTCCCCTTCTGCTGGGTTCCTGAACTGTCCCAGGCCTCAGCTACCTGCTTCTCACAGCAACAGCTCACAATAACTCAACCCCAGCAGTTACCTAATCTAACCTCAACAGAGACAGATTCAGAGTTCCTCTATGACTGACAGTTTACCGCCAGTCAGTTCATCTTGGTACCAAGCTCCTTGATATCCATAACCAGTATCTTTTTTAAACTGAACACTTGCAGCTATAATCCTTATGTAAGAACCTTTCTGATGAGAGGATGGGTCTATCGTTTACAATTTCTGCTGGCCATTGCCAGTGCAGTCATTCTGGGGTCACAATCCCACAGGACTCATGACTATATTTTATTGTCTCAGATTTGAGACTCCTCCAGCCTGCAGGGCCAGGTCCCCATATTTATAACTGCAATGGCTAACTTGTCCTGCTTGATAACATCTTCGCAAAGACTGCATAGAAAACACCATTCCTCTGTTGCAATTTGATTGTTGCTTAGTGATGGCATGACATATTCCACTGTTGCATATGCAGCCATCAGCACAGACTGCACAAAAAAACACCATTCCATTGTTGTTGTTTACTAGCTTCCTCCTAGTAATGGCCAGCTATTGTGACTCCACAATTCTTGTTTTGAGTGAATATGCCACAATATCTTCCAATCCCTGGCTAATCTTTCATATTCTTGGTCATCTTGTAGGTTTCTTCCTTTCAGTTTTAACTTGAATGCCGTTTTTATATTACTTATTCTATCCATTGTTTTACATGGTCAGACCTTTGTAATTGTCCCTATTCTGATGCAGTTAACAGACTTTTAATTCCATCTTCTTTAGAAATATGATTTCTAATTTTGTCCCTTTCTGCTTTTTCCTCAGAATTTCTCTAAAACTGAATATCCACTACTTGGATTTTCCTTTTGTTTCTGTTTGTAAGGATCCATATTTTGGTGCTATACATTAGTGTCAGTTTAAATATATGGTCCTTACAGATTGTTGATATGCAGTGTTTTTGGATCTCTTTTTAATATTTCATTTATAATGTGTTAAAATGTAGAATGGTCATATTTTGAACCCTTCTGTTGATCTCACCATAGATATTCACTTAAGAGTTTATTTTTCAACTAAATAAATAAATGTGATCACCTTGCTAATCCTTGCTAACCTATTTTTAACTATGTTTTACCAGGTTCAGTTTAATGTTGATGTCCATTCCTCTTCAAACCGTCACATAGCTGTTTCTCTATCAAAGTGGATTTCATTCCTATCAAAGTCAGAAGTGTTAGACTCAACATTTGACCATGCTGTGTATTATGAGCTTCCTCTGCCAGGGTTTGAGCAGACCTGGCAAGCATACTTGCTTTATATTGAGCCAAAGAGCTGTCAGAAGGCTCCAAACCATGCACTAGCAACAATGGTTGTGCCATGGAGCAAGGAAGATGTGCATGCCCACATAACGTGAGTGTTATGTTTATCAATTTTGTAGTTTCTCTGTAATCAAAAGAGCTTTCATGAAGAAATGAAGAAGAGATTAAATTTAGGGAATGTTTTCTAGAATTCATTTGAAAACTCTTTAGTCATTCCATCTGGTGTCTAAAATGTAGAGATTAAAATATAATGGACTGTAATTTTGCCTGTTGTTTTGTATGGTACTGAAATGTAGTATCTTATATTAAAGCAAAGACCATAGACTGAGGATGTTTAAGAATTGTGTTCCAAGGAGGATGTTTGATTCTAAGAAGGAAGTAACAGGAGGCTGGAGGAAATTACTGTGCATAACGAGAAGCTTCATAAATTTTACTCTACCGAATATTTAGGAAGATCAAATCAAGAAGGATGAGATGGGTGGACCATACAGCATGCATGGCAGAGAGTGGAGACACATACAAGGTTTTGGCGGGATAACAAGAAAGAAAGATCACTCTGAAAACCATGACATAGAGGAGAAGATAATATTAAAATTAACCTTAAAGAAATAGAATGGGAAGGTGTGAACAGAATTCATTTAACTCAAGATAGGGACCAGTGGAAGGCCCTTGTGAACCTACAAGTTCCATAAAATGCTTGGAATTTCTTGACTAGGTGTACCAGCTGAGCTGTCCCAGTCTCATGAATAGGTTGACTGCTGAAGTGTATGTTTATATTTATGTTATTTCTTACTTTAATGCATTGTTTTTCTGTTTCACAGAGAAACTCTTCATAAGCCACTACGCTTAAGACTTCAGTCTCCAAAACCTCTGTCATACAAATCAGGTGACCCTGTTAAAGTCACATTGATTTTGGACCCACAGTGCAAATACTCTGTTAGGTAAGATGCAGTATGCGGTGTACATTGATGTATATATGGACGTTAGTGGCTGAGCTAGATCTCAAAAATTGGATAGTTGAGAAGTAAAAGAGCAAGTTCTGTCTCACTGTGAAAGTTTGTTTGGAAATATATGGCATTGTCTTCCATCATCATCATCGCCTGTGTTTATGGATTGAGTAGAAAGAACCTGTAAAGTAAAAGTAACGCTATCCCTGTAACAGGCCATGAAGGCCCATAGGGTTGTGAGATGTTGAGGGTCCCACATTTTCTAGACAATCGGCTCATAGATGGCGGTAAGGTTGTCAGCTTTACGCGCCAGCTGCGCTTTACTTCGCAGGAAAATTATTTAATTAATTCCTGGTACTCATTTCTGTTAGAGGCTGAGTCAAACCCAGGGCCATAGTGCGGCTGGAAGGATTAGGTCAATTGAAAAAAATCCAATGACCTCATCGGGACTTGAACCTGCAATCTTCCGGCTTGTAGTTCCAAAGTTTATCTTGCTGCCTGCTTCTGCTAGCTTCTTGGTGGGCTTACTCTTGAGCCTTGAAGGTAGAGGTAATATATTCCTCGAAAACATTGGGCTGTCTCCAAACTACATGATATGACAACCAGGAAGATTGTGCTTTTCAACCTATTCAGAGCTTCAGTTGCATTTCCTCTTTAGTCTGCCAGTTATTCTTTTTCTGTTGGTTGCTCTATCGGAATTTGTTTCAGAAGGTGGTCAATATTAATTCTCTCCTATCCATAATTGTGTCTTATTTGCAGAGTTTTAATGTGTTAGAGCAGATGGTACATATAGTTACCATTGGACTTAGAAGTCTCCTAATGTTTACAGGAATTTGCTGCCTCTTTCTTCAGGTTCAGTTAGTAAGTCGTCTGTACTTTACTTGACTCACTCCTTTGATTCTGAAGACAGAGGTAGCATGTCCCTCCATAACATAAATGAACTTCTACCAGATTTCATGGCATCACGTTCCAGAAGGTATTGCTTATCATAATCACTGCTGTAAGAATCTCAAAACCAACATGGCTTTCAGTCTGGTTTTAATAGTTTCCTTATTCAGTGAATGAAGACATTCTTCATAAAATATTTGTTAATTAGTTTGCATTTTTGGTGCTAACATTTCAGAATTCAGAGTGGAGTGCTGGACAGTTTTGGACAGCTGGCTCGGTTTTACAGCCCAATGCTGTTACCATATCTGGTGGCCATATTGCTGCTTACTCTGCGTGAACAACTACGTACTCTGGTGGAAACTGGGCAGTGTGTCATGTTTCATACAGCGTTAGGTGCCGGAGCAAAGCCATATTACGGCCTTCCAGCTGTGAGAATTGGGATACAGGTTGTGGGGTAGGTGCTTATGTAAGAAGTTTCACAGTACTAATGAGTAAATTTTAGTTGTCATATCAATCACTACATTGTAATTCACTTAAGAGGGGCCTTTAGTTGATAATTATAAATCACGCAATACTCTTCTGATGAAAAAGAAATTTGGTTAATACATGCGTTGGTGGATGAGAGGTAATTGGGTTACAGAAGATGTTCAAATTTGTTTCCTTCTACCTGAAGAGAGAGGCTGACTAAACATGCCATGTTCTTGAATTTCGCAGCCAGCATGTCAGGAGGAATTGCAGCAGTTTTAGAAATAGAACAATTCAGGCTGACACACACTGGGTCAGTGTTGCAAAATATACAGTATAGCCAAGTTTTGTTTTTATTGGTAAATTATTTGCATGATTTATAATTATTTATTTTCGGCATACTCCAAGTGAATTATCCCAAAGATTTCAGACGTTACATGATTGGCTGCACTGATTCTGCTTAAAGAGATAGTCAAATAAAATTTCCCCTGCCCTTGATTAGTTAAGCTATATGCCATGGAGACAAGGGGGAGTGGAAGTATAGCTCCACATTTCTTGACCTTGGCACAAGATGAAGGTGAGTGGTCAGCTTCACACCCAGGTTGCTTTACCCCCGGGGAAATTGCCTCTGGCATCCATTGAATGGAAGGCTAGGTTCGCCTCAGAGCAGGTCTGGACACTTTGGAGAAGAGAAAAATCTTGCACTGCCAGAAATCAGACCCAATTCATCCAGCGTGTGGCTCATCGTTGTACCAACTGAGCTCAACTCATAAAGCATACTTTTCTGCTAGTTTTCTAGTTGTTGTTTCTTATTTTATTTTTGAGGAAAATTATTGCTAGGATAAATTTGTTCCATACAACTTCAGAATTTGACACAGTTGCCTTGTTTGTAATTACTGAATGAAAAATGGTATTTCACACACAATGTGTGGGTATGTTTATAATTTGTCTCAATATTGAATTTCACATGTCTGTCACTAGTAGTTCTTATTCTTTATTCTCTGTTCTTTATTTTAAATTCAATAAGTCCTTTTTGTCTAAGCCTAGGATGTAGAACAAGTCACTATTAAATCAAAACATACACAAGGACAGTTCATAAAATAGAACTCAGTCACATACAGAACAGTCATAAAACGAAATTATACATAGTGATAATCAAACCACAAAAAAGTGAAAATTCTTCAAGTTATAATCGATTGAATTACAACCTGTAAAAGCTAACACATCACAACCATAATATATACATTTCACAAAATTTCAAAATTAAGGTATACTAAAAGTTTAATTAACGAATACAAATATAAGATATGGTAATTACATATATCTTATGAGATAAAATAACTGAAGGTGACATTATAGATATTTTCAGTCCTAGTATGGTTACTTATTAATACAGGCAATCAGCTGAGCACCTCATATCCAGTAAAATGTACACTCATCAGGTAAGATGACAGAAAAGACAAAGGTTAAAACAACATAATAAGTTATACATTAAAAACCATGCAAAGGTCTTTGTCATCCTTGTATTGAAAATATTCATTTATAGAATAAAAAGGATGATGATACAAAAACCTCTTCAATATCGATTTGAAACATTTCTCATCATTGGCCAAATTTTTTATTTATTGAGGAAGATGATTGAAAACTTTAATTCCTGATATATATGCTCCTTTGTGAAATTTTGTTATATTAGCTATATAGTGACTTGTCAGTTGCTGTGTAATCTAGTGTTATATTTATGAATCTCATTATTTAAGTTAAATAAACATTTATTATTAATTGTATATAATAGTAAGGAATATATATACTGGGGATATAACGTCATTATTTCCAATTTCATAAACATTTCTCTACATGAATCTCTTGGTTTAGCATTCGTTATATTTCTAATGATTATTAGTGTGATCAACCTGAATGCTAAACAGAAGTGTTGCATGACTTCCGTTTTCTTGTTTTACATTCTGCAAAAGGCTAACTTTAAGAAAAGTAGCATGTCTTTGAAAGCCTGTTACTGTGCATCATTTCAGAACCCTAATTTAATTACACAGTGACCTCTGTTGTCATAATATTTATACCAGTTTCTGTGGAAATCATTCAGGTGGTTCTGAAGTTGAAATGGGGCACATACACGTACACAGGGATAACATGAAGATCTAATGAGCCTGTTTTCTGCCCTTAGGAAAGGAAAGTGGGTTATGCATACACAATATCTCTAACTGAAGATCACTTCAGGCATAAGCTTCTGAAATTCAGACATTAAGTCATCTATTGTGACATAATGGCTGAAACCTGAAATAGTTTAATGAATAGATGCAGCCGTTGCTAGGCAAAAATGCAGTGAACACGTGGCAATGAATAAACATAATGCAAGAAAGGAATTCTTGAAAGTGGTGTTTAAATGTGTAGTCACCTGTTAGCAGTTAGTCTTGAGTTATGACCAAATAAAAAACAGAAGACTTTATGTGTGCTGTAGCTGTAGTGATCTATAAACTGTGTAAATCAATGAGATTGTTATAGTAGTCTTTTAGTTATGAGTTATAAGTATTCTGTAAATCTAGTTATCAGTCCAAACCCTGTGTCTAATCATGAATGTGTGACTGTATGAATTATGTGGAATAGAGAACCAGCTTCTAAACACAGGCCATGTCAGATTACAGCAGGTTTAGCAAACTATGCATCATCAGGCCACTAGGTTCACTTTCAGTTGCGTGAAACAGGCCTTGCTTATGCCTCGCAGGTGGAGCATGTTAATGAAGATTATGCATCCGCTGTTGCCACTACCTGACCTCATAATGCTGAAGGAGCAAGACCTGCATTCTCTGCCTCTTTGCCTGTACCTCTATGCTGTAGCTTATGGGGCAGCATACCTCCTTGGTCTGGGTTGCTGGCTTACCATTATTTTCAGTGGACATACTGCACACAAGATGGCTGTAAGGTAACCTTTTGTGCAACGCAGTTATGTGTCAGTTATGTTACAGGCATGTGAACTCAGAATGTTCTTTAATTCAGACTGTGTGTCTAAAATGTCATTTTTTTCCAGAACATACAGATTTTTTTATATCTTTACAAAAATAGTCTAAGGAGGACATTATTTGCTGGTTTTATCATAATTTCCATGGCAACCAAATTCAAAGTAGTCTCATATAATTATGACAGCACCGGATGGTGGGTGTAGTAAGTAGCATTGTTTCAGCCAGTTTTACAGTGGTCAGTCTGTCAGTCAATGTTGATCTTTGCCAAAAGAAAAATATATATCTTGACTCTTAATATTATGATTATTCTAGCAGATATATTTCCAGAACTTCAAGTTCAAGGCAAGCATATTTGCTGAAACAGTGATTTCAAAGTGTCCCTCAAAGGGTGTAATGTGTACGAGTAAATAAATGAACAGGTTATCTGGAAGCCATAGCCAGAGATCAAAACTGTCAGATCTTACCACTGAAATTTCAAGGGACATTTCATTGGTATGTTACTGTTACACCAGAGAAATTCTGTCTTTGCCACAAAATACATAATAGGATTGACTTAATATTGTATTTTTTTGTTATTCCATTTTATTCTCATAATATAAAAGTTGAAACAGTTTAATTCCTGTAATGGCCTTGTAAAAGCAAAAATTTGCTTACCTGTTCACTGGCAGCTGCTATCACCTTCAAAATACTGTCCTTGTGAAGCTATGCACTTTGTGAGACAATGGTGCCACTGCTGAAAACAGTCTTGAAAATCATTTTGGGGAATACCTCACAGCAACATCACGTGCTGGATGTTAGGAATGTCAGCAAATCTTTGTCCCTTCAGGGTATTTTTTTTTTATTTTGGAAAGAGCCAAAAATCACAGGGGAAAAAGGTGGATGGTCCATTATTTAATGGATTTCTTAGCCAGGAACTCATGAATTCTTAACACATCATGTTCAGGGGCATTGTCATGGTGGAGGATTCACTTGTAAGGCCAGAGTTTAGGTCTTCTCCTAACAGATTCCTGTAACCTTGTCAGCACTTCCAAATAACACTGTTGATTCACCGTTTGTCCTTGTGTAATGAATTCAAAGTGAACTATCCCCATGTGATTGTAGAAACACACGAACATGGTCTTGAACTGCAAGCAAGACATGCATGCTTTTTTTGGCTGAGGTGAATTCTGTGTTTTCCATGGCATGCTCTGGCATTTTCTTTCCGGGTTGTATTGAAAATGTCATGTTTCAGCACTGCTAATGACCCTATCAAACATCTCTTCATTGTTTAGAAGCTCAGATGACATGTTAAGCTGACATTGTTTCTGGTCATCTGTCAAAATTTGATGCACCATCTTTGTGGAAATTTTTCTTATTCCAGAATCATCTGTAATAATCTGTCACGCTGTTTCCCTATCCATATTCAATTCTTCTGCTGTTAGTCTTGCACCTAATCTTCGATCTGAGCACACAAAGGTTCATAATCTGTCCACATTTTCATGTGGCCTTTTGAGTTTTTGTCTTCCTACTTCTTGGGTCATCTTGTACATCTTCTCACCCTTCCTTGAACTGCCTGTGCCCTTCAAAAACACTATTTCTTCATACAGTATTCACCATAAGCCACTGTTTATAGGGTTAACGTTTCACCTGCACTTTTACTGGTCTTCACACAAAACTTGATGTTTATCCGCTGCTCAAGATTCTTGTCACTCATTTTTCCACCAGCAGTATACCACGGTCACATACTACTTTCTCTGCCGCTTGGGAACGAACAACTCATTTGGTCTGTGGCTGATGTAAACGCAGGTTTGAACATGTCCAAACATGCTTGGCTATGTGAGTTTGCCTGACTCAACACCCCAGTAACACGCTGTGTCCATTCTGCGAATTAAATTTTTGCACCTTATAGGTATAATTCTAGGATAACTGTAGGGTTTCTGCATTATGGCATGTTTTGGCCACTATTTTAGCAATCATCAGGTAGTACTTATACTGTCACGCTCAACTGTCAATGCTATTCCCCCTCCATTGGCCAATTTTTGCAACTTGAGGAAGATAATTTTGTTGTTTTCTGTGTAGGTTACCTAATTGCTATTAATATTGTAATGTATATTTTGTTTTAGAGCAGTTATTTTGTCACTGTCAGTAACCAAGTGAGATGTTGACGTCACTTGCTAGTCCATGACTGTTTAATTGTACAGTTACTCTGTCTTCTTGCATCTTATTGCTACCAAAATCTGCACTAACTTCTAGTCTCACATTATGGACTGTTTCACATCTGTTTGTGTCACAGTGCTTCAACAGATCTCATAAACTTGGCCACTTGACTCAGATGGCTTGTACTGAGCTTTTGCCATTAGGTGTTGTATCTTCAACCATTCCAGAAGTCTCTTGTGGGTTCTTGGCTAACCCCCCCCCCCACTAAGCGAATAATCTGAATTGTTGACACTGTCATAAAATAAACCATAAAGAGAGGAGATTCCTCCAAAATGTTGGTACCTCTCTACCAGACTAAATGACATCATATCCCAGAAGACTGTAATACAGTGTGGCCACATTTTATGTGAGGAACTGTTGGAAGACCTCGCACTATTCAGAACTCGCATAATTCAAGACAGGTTTTCTTATAGGAATATAACTTAAAGTAAGGGGGATTTCTGGATTTGCATTATTTCGAGCTTCACGCGTGAAGTGAGACTTTATTGATGTTTTTTATATCACACTGTTTCAAATTCACGTAAAATGCGACTGCACCGTGTTCCCATTCTTGTATCTTTTAGGAGCCTGACTATGTCACATTTGTGGAAGGTCTTTGGCAAGCATCATGACCTTTCTGATACATAGTTCACTTCACAGCTTCCTTGCCAAGGCCCTGATGGGAACATTAACCTTATCAGAATGGGCCATGACAGGACTGTCCAAGTTGCCTGCAGCCGTGGCTGCATTCCTCCTTGCTCTTATCTACAGCACATGTGGTGCCCTCAGCCTGTGTGTGGGAGCTGCCTTCTTTTTCCTCAAGGTATGTATGCCTGTCATCCTCAACATCATCACCCAGAAGTAAAGGTCTACATTTGGTTTAAAGTGTCATTCTTATATCAAATTTGAGGTTCTCATGGGGTGGGGGGTGCAGGTATGAATCTGTAAGGTAAAGGTAAAGTTGTTCCTGTGCTTAATTAATAAGGCAATTAAACACTATACCATGGGGATGGAGGTGAGTTGTCTGCTTTACCCCCAAGCTACTCCCAGGCAAAGAGCCCCTAGTGCCCATTGGATGTAAGGCTGGGTGGGTCCCAGAATCAATCTGGATGCTATGGAGTAGAGAAAAATCTCTTGCCCCTATCAGGAATCTAACCCTTGCTATCCAGCCCGAAGCCGGTCACTATACTGACTGAGCTATCTTGGCTACCAGTACAATGCCATATATTTGGTACCACTGTTTTAGATGATCCTGCTACCCCCATTGCATAAAGAGGCCTCCCCTTAGAGCATCACTGTTTGACATTTTAAGGTTTGATGATGATGAATGTACAGCAAGTAGGCTGCATGCTGGATGGTGTTGGAATCAGAGGGCAAGGGCAGAAATTTTCCTGTCTGAAATGTCCTGATCAGCTATGGAGCACATGCAGTCTCCTATCTGATACATACTGTGGACTCTTCTTCCAGGAGTAGAGTGACCATGAAGGAGTCCACTCACCTCCTTTTATGCAGAGATTAAGGATGTTGAGCTTTGCTACCATTCCACTGTATGTCTTTTTGGTGTGGTACTTAATTAAAGAAATGATAACTGTATCTTTTATGTAACGTAGTCATAGTTGGAAACACTGAGACCAATAGTTCAGCATTTGTTTGTTGAAGGTAATTGCATACTTATCTTATTTCAGCTTTGCAAAACGTATGAAAACTACCTGGAACATTTATTTAAATATTCACTAAAATTGTTGCTGAAGAGACAAAAGAACAGCAAAGCTTCTGAAAGAGAGCAAAGCTCAGTAGTTGAAGGTGATGATGATGACCGTAAGAAGGATGCTACTACCTCAACAAAGGATGATGATGATGATGATGATGGTAAAACTCAAGACAGTATGGAGATGGAGACTCAAATCCAGCAAAATGTTGTGCCTGATACTGACACTCAAGACAAAGCTGAAACATCTCAGACTGATGAAACTACAGAGAGTGCTGCAAATGTTAATGATGATTCTGTCAAGAGGAGTGAGGAGCATGTAGTTAGGAGCCCCTCAGATGTTGAAGTATCATCAGAACCCAATGAGGATGCTGATTTCTCATTCTCGGAGTTTCACTTTAATTTTACTGTGTTCCTTTTGTGGCTGTCTGTCACACTGCTAAATGTGCCATGTGTCCTGGTGTGGGCACACAACTACAGGTGAGAAGAATGGGATGTTGTCCTCTGTCCTGACTGTATATTTAATAATGAAGTGGACCCACATATGTATTTTGTGTTGTAACATAATTTGGAAAAAAGAACTTTGAAGTTCTTTTGTTCCTTTTTGGAACAACATGGAACTAACCTTAAATAATTAATGTTTAATTACTGCACTTGTCTGGATGTAGTAGACATTTTCTTCCTTATAAATAACTCCATGTAGCTGAGTCCTGCTTGAGAAAGTAATAGTTACATAGTACAGCATTTTATGGAACTTCAAGGTTCATCACCATGTTCATAAGAGTGTATTACTACTGGTCCCTTTCCTGAACCAGATGAATCCAGTCAACACCCTCCCATCCTGTTTCTTTGAGATCCAGTTTAACATAATCCTCCCATCTATGTCTAGGTCTTCCTAATATGTATTTCCTTCAGGTGTTCCTACCAAAACTTTGTATGCACTTCTTTCTAATGTGTACCATTCTCATCTCTTCCTCCTTGACATCATCGATCTAATTATATTTGGCAGAGAGTACAAATTATAAAGCTCCTCATTATGCAGTTTCCTCTGCCTCCTATTATTCAATCCATCTTGGGTCCAAATATTCTCCTTAGCTCCCCTTTCTTAAACACCTTCAGAATATGTTATTCCCTTAATGTGAGACAAGAAGAAAAATTACAGTTTTATGTATTTTAGTGTTCATGTTTTTAGATGGAATGTGGGAAGACAGCTGGACAGAATGGTGGCAAGCATTCCCCATATTAAATCTGCTCCTAATTTCTTCATGAATGTAATTTTAATATATTAATGTCATCCAAAACTATTTTAATGTTGCCACTTTTTCAAAGGATCTGTTAGCTTTGTTCATGCTATGATTTTGTCCTGCATTCTGGCGAAAAGACATTAATATCCTTGTCCATCCTT